GTCATATATAGACACCGCCCGGTAGCAAATTTGCTTACTTTTTGCTCTGAGTGTAGATAAACAATTTCCTGATTTATTGATGTCCGTATAACTAGTTTTTTAAATTACTTCAATAATTTTACTCAGCATGTTTGAAGGTTTTGGAATTTTTGACAAAACTCTACAATCTGCAAATTACACAAAGTCTTTGATTTTGTATGCACGCCTTATTTAATTCTTTCTCATTTTACTGTGAATTCGCAGCAATCGTTCTAAATGCAAAATGTCCACTCCACCAGTCTGTTCGCTATTTTGGGTATGAATAATATAAAATTTAATTTGTGATTTTTACAAAACACATACATACATACCAATACATCTAAGATTTTTCGGACTTATTGGTTCTAATATTTGCTTTAAACATATAGTAATTAAGAATTCATACATATGTTTAACATCCGTGGCCGTCAAAGGTGCGGGGACATTTGGGATAGGGAAGGGAGAGGTTTATGCTCATGTACATACATACATACATATGTAACATGGGAACATGGATGGGGGCATCGAACAACAATGAAAACGTTTTCCGTCTGTCCGCACGCAATGTTATCCACTATTATTCATTAAATTAGGATGAAACAATTTGTCAAATTTAAATGACGCCAATCGAACCATTGCATAAATAAATGTTTTATTCATGCATTTATTCACACACCTACGTACATTCATACCTCCATGTTCACCGTCACGTAGTCATAATTGTACATAATGCACATCCCGTAAAAAAGTATTTATTCTTAGTGAGGCAAATACCTAACAACGAAAAAAATTTACTAACAATGCGATGGTGTGAAGTGTAACCCTCCGATTTGGCTGAAATTTTAAAATTAGGTGGTCCAAGCCAATACAACTAACGTTTCTTCAGGCAGTTTGTGCGATGGTGAGAGTTACTCAAAATATTTGAGGTCAAAGTTCAAAAAACGGCCGACTTTTTTCAGGCGGAGTGAGAAAACTCCACTTCCATTCTCTTCCCCTCGCTTTGATTTTCACTCCGAAAAATAATTCATTTCAACAATTTTAAATTTAATTTTTTATAGAAAAATATTAATTATTCATTCCACATGTGACTATATGATTATTTTCATAAAAGTCCACAAAACAATACGATAAACTGCACCAGCTGAATTTGATGAATGTGGGATTGCCACAATTCAGGTCGCAACTAATATTTTTTTCTCTAAAACAAACTTCGCTTACATTTTTAAACTCGGGCTTTTCGTCATCACCCCATGATCCGCTTGAGTACCAACAATATCGAATCACAGGAGCATTTAAAATATTAATATATAATTGGATATTAGAATAACCAACGCTTTCGAAATGGAAAGCAAGTTAAGTTTTTCCATGTTTATTTGCCGTTGGCGAATTTATAAATTAACTTTTATGTAAATTTGTACTAGAAATAAGTAAAAATCTCACTTATTTAATTATAAATTAAATTAAGTATGTATAATGCGTATTAATTGCTCTTTAAGCTATAATTAATAATGTTTATTTTTTATTATTTTGCATCAAAGCTTGTGCTTGAGCATGAAGGCGTATGCATGAGCGAGACGCCTGAATAAAATCAAAGCGAGGGGAAGAGAATGGAAGTGGAGTTTTCTCACTCCGCCTGAAAAAAGTCGGCCGTTTTTTGAACTTTGACCTCAAATATTTTGAGTAACTCTCACCATCGCACAAACTGCCTGAAGAAACGTTAGTTGTATTGGCTTGGACCACCTAATTTTAAAATTTCAGCCAAATCGGAGGGTTACACTTCACACCATCGCATTGTAAGTATGCATTTACCCCACCCAAAAAAACTGACATAAATCGATTTCTCGGCCATTTCTCAACCGATTTTGATGAAATTTTGCACAGATCATTGTTACGGAATTTAGAATCGATCTGCAATTCGACTTAGCGAATTTTTGATTTTTACCCGAGTTATGGGCGAAAAAGAGCAAAAATTTGCATTCGGAGTAATCTTTCCATCCGTTGTTCCATTTTGGAGCATCACATAGTCCTAAATTATTGGAAAAAGTTACACCGATTCCTTATGAACATTTTAAGACCAAGTTCATCGAAATCGGTTAAGAAATCAAGAAGCTATTCAATTTTGAAAACGAAAAATTTAGTAAAATTATCCTGGTTACAAATATTTAATGACGATGGTGCAGCGTAATAATGTTATTGACAACCCAATTACAAGTTTTAAATAAACAAGGTCCCAAAAAGTGGGAAATCTTAGTGAGGTGGTGCAATTTCAGCTAAAAAATACATTTGAATTGCAGAATTTTTTGCATCACCGCTCTCGTTACAATTCTTTACTGGACCCACTACATATTTTATTTTGCATACATAAATTCTTACATTTATTGAACTACTTGAGATTTCAAAAAAAATGTTTTTACTAGTGAACGAGAAGTTGGCTGCATTGACCGATACCACATATAATGGCCAAACAATTGTGAACTGTGCAAATCTATGATTTTGGATATCTAATTGATTCCAATTCTGGTGAAATCGCCAGACCTTTAAAGGGAGAAAATTATTCTAAATGACTAATTAATGCTAAGTGATTAATTATTGCTTCCTGTAAGGAATGGTAACTAGAGCGGTGATGCAAAAATTCTGCAATCCAAATGTATTTACAGAGCATGGGGCACTTATACTGAGAAGCATTCAAACGCTCGCGCGAAAAAACTGGTACAACTTAAACAAACCCGGCCTACGCTGTTTGATAGACAAACCAATTAGATAAGTCTCTGATTTTTTTCTACTCGAAGTTCTTAAAAATGGCTCCTCCATGACCATTTTAGTTAGAGGTACACTGAAAAAGTTTTCCAGACAGAATTTCGCCGGAAATGTGATAAAAAAGGCTGAATGCACGTGTGCATGAAATTTCTTTGGCCTCAATTTATAGAATAATAAATATAGAAGATGTTAGAAGACAATCCATTAATCAGGGACTGCCTCCTCCCCCTATAAACCGCCCCCTAGTAAATTGGTCGAAAAGGCTAAAAACAAAGCTCAACAGTTTGATCGACCAGGAAACGCCAATGAGCAATCGCAACATGGCGAAACGGCTAAAATCGAATCCCATAACTATTCAAAGAGTCATTAAAGAGATTTGGACAATTTCAGACTGAAGAAGACAAAACTGCATGCGTTGAACGAGAATCACATCGCTTTTCGCTAATTTTTACGCTAAAAAGCTGTATGACAACCACCTTGCTGGAGGTAAGGACGAATGTGTGGTCACAATCGATGAAGATTTGTTCAGGGTAGATGACTGTAACGGGACAAGGTCAATTTGCGATGCATCGTGGAGAAAATGTTCAAATCAGTTACGACTTTAGATCGACTTTGGAAAAGTTTTCAGGACCAGTGGTCATAAATAAGCCTTCAAAAGTGTCAGGAAGTGCTTTCATCAAAGAAGAAGCGTTGCAGACTTGTAGCCCAGAATCAGGGGCATCACATTGAGCAAGTTAATTATCCAAAAAACATCACACGTAGGTTAGAAAAATTGTTGAATTCTTCTCAGTATAAGTGCCCCACTCTCTGTATTAGCTGAAATTGCACTACCTCACTAAGATTTTCCACTTTTTGGGACCTTGTTTATCTAAATAGTAAATGCATATCTACGCAGATGTACATACATACATATGTACGCTGTTAGAAATCTGGTAGAGTCAGGCAGGCATTGATTTCTCAGTATTAAAGTTGCTACCGTATTGTATTAAAATTATGTATAACGGTCCGTAAACATTTGCTGTCTATGTACATGGTAAATAGAACTCTGATTCCAAGCTTTCACTACACAGTATAACTTATCAATATCACATTGGTACAGTCATACATGAATACGTCTTGGAATTATTTTTATACTAGATTTCTAGAGTGTATGAATCAATAACGTTGTCATCTGGTAATAAATCTGGTCCTGATTGCTTCATATTTATCGAAAAGTTTGTTTTGGGCGTTCTTTTCTTACAATTGTCAGTAGTAAATACAAATCCAACTCAACATCAATGTCTATTTTTACTAGCAATTGACTTTGTCGCCATTAAAGTCAATACAGCACCTCATATTAAACACAAGTTCAATATCTGCTTGCATCATGGAAAAGTTACGGAAAAAAACTGTGGCAGAAGATTCCTATAATGGAGACAATTATTTAATGTCTGAGTCATTCATGCATGTGCTGGAGTGGTGAACAATACGTAAGCATCTGTCGGCATCAATTTGCATACATACACAATTTAGTAAACATGTGTTAACGATGATGTTAACTATTTCGAATTAAGCCACCAGTATTAACCGGTCCATTGGAAAACTGGTTTCCAAAAATTCTATACCGGTTATGAAAGAATACTCCCATACAAAATTTGAATGTGACAATTGATCCATAAATAAATGCATACATAATTACTATGAACTTTACACATGTCATGGCCAATTTTTATCTAGATCTCTCATCCGTCGCCAATTTTGCAGTAGTATTCACCTCTGGAATGATTTGCAATTTTCGTTGTGTATGTACATATTTGTAATAACGAAAAAAGTAATTTTTTAGTCTGATACGGAAAGAATTAGCTGTTTAATTGACACCACCACTTCGTCTCAATTCAGCAATATTTAGTTAATTTATCATTGTTTAATTTATTTATATGTTAAGTGAAGTAAATAATTGGCCTGGAATACTCAAGACGTTCCGTCACATTCAACCGATAATTAACCCGGACCTACCGAATTCTAATCGGGTGCTTTGTTGGTAAGAAAAATAATAATTATGTACCTTCTACTTAATGATTTTTATTAAGAATCAGTAAACTTGTAGAATTTATTGTAGCTTCGTTACACTGCAAATAAACTGGTGTCAATTCCGCGCGGTGTAGTCACATATAGACACCACGCGGTGTTAATTGCCCGTATTAACACCGCGTGGTGTCTATATGTGACTACACCGCGCGGAATTGACACCAGTTTATTTGCAGTGTACACTCACAAGTATGTAGTAACAATTAAGGTTGATATTGATTACACATTTGTACATATATATGTACGTATTTATATACTTGTCTGTGTTTAACTTAAATTACTTGCTTTCACATGTTGCTACTTTATCTAAACCATAAGTAAAATAATTTATATGTATGCAAGCATGTATGTAGGCACGTGCATGAAAAGCCATTTGTTCATATTGAAGGCAACAAATTCTGAAGTGTACAACAGATTAGCCAACAAGGAAAAATAATATTTTAAGCTTTGAACGAGATAATTTTCCTCTAATCTTAATGCTAGCAGTAAATTTTCCGATACATCTGTATTCCGTTGCGTACTGAATAGTAACAACAATTTTTTGGCGCTTTTTAACTACCAAACCATTTATTTTTAGAAATATTATTTTGCCTGCTAGATAATTACACATGTTTGTGTAGCACAATTACTGATATTCTATGAGCTGCTAATTATGTACACACCAGATTGTTTTGCATTACCAGTTACACGCATCGTGTATACATATATAATAGTCAGCATATCGGGGATTTAAAAAAATGTAATAGTCAATGGAGATTTATCAAGTTGACGAAAGGAAAATGTACAATTTCCAAAAAATAGATACATGTATATTACAAAATGTACGTATAACTTTGTATGCTAAATTACATATGTACGTAATTGCATGGCAAGGGATATTACAAAAATTTGTAGGATGCAGTACACAAATGTGTACAATAAGTTACTATATTTTGAAAAATACTTTGATGGTCAACTGATACAAAATTGTTGCACTAATGTACATAATTTGTTAGCCAAGGACAGTAGTTAAGCACATCAATAAGCACAGTTTAAGTAAACTTTTCTTTGAAATCGTTACCAATAAAAACACATTCTTGCATGCATATGTATGTCCTGCGTAAGTAATGTGATTGATTTCAGCTGGAATATGCAGAATCTGCATTGTACATACATAACCATGTAGATTAATGCATCTTATCTTTCCCATATGATATGCACATCGCTCTGTGTCATTGAGGCAAAAATGTTTCCTAATCCATCACATCCTTCTCGTACCGTCCCTCATCTTAATTCTGACACATTGTGACAATGTCAATGTCATATGATTTTAATTTCAATTTTATACACATTCACGACCAAGGTGAAAGACTACGCAAGAATCACTTAAATTCAGTACATTCTGGAAATGATCCGCTTCAAAGGGAAAAATACCGATATTTGCCATTCCAAATTATTACTTTTACACTATGAATACAAATTTAAAGGATGTGACTGTCTCGAAATACCAACCTCAATTGGTCATGCTTATTTAGTTACTGCTACCGTCTCATGTCGGTGCTTTATGACCACAATTTGAACGTATGTATTAATACAATCCGTTCCAGATAGCCTCATGATGGTGATAATTATCATTTTAAAATAGAAATTACAATTTTTGAGCAGGTTAAAACTTGAAGAAATTAGTTACCCTCACGCAATTGAACCATTGTGGTAGAAAAATTGAAAAACAAACATGTACAAATTTCTTGTATGGTCATTTACAATTTAAATATTGGAAACTCCTTTCGCTCCCGAAAACCATCATTAGTTAATGATGGAGATGTGTTACGTATGTTCAATTAAGGGGAGAGGGAACGTTCATAAATTAGAATGAGGCAATTCACGCAGTGATTGGGAACTTTGTAAAATCTGGAAATTTTGTGAAATAATTTTACAAATTTTTATAAAATAAAAAAGCCCTTGATCTGAGTAAGTTTATAAAAATTTGCAAGGTAATTTTCTTCAGAAAAGTTGGTAAAATTTGGTAAAAGTTTATAAATGTACGGATTTTACAGTATTACCAAAAACCGCGTGAATTAATTCAATGATATACATAATTTTTGCGAAATCCATGCGAAATGCTGGATTTTAAGCCACATAATTCATGCCCGTTCCCGTATCGACTTCTGAAAATTATTTGTTAAGTATTTATCTAATCAGGTTTTGCATAATGACGTTCACCACAAATAACTCCATTACAGTTATTGTAAAATCTTATGTCAAAGAAGGCGTAATTAAGTTTAGCATAATTTTGGAGAGTTTGAGTCTAAATTTTGTTATGTTTGTCTTCCAACTTCTAATTGATTTTTGTTATGTGATGATGACTTAATGGTGAACCTGAAAACCTTAGGATTTTGTTATGTCAAATCTTTCACTTAACGACAAGTAGTGTGCGTGAATTTGAATTCAATCCGGTTTTTTCAGGTAAATACTAACCTAATTTCAATTTCTCATGAATTTTTGTAAAAAAAATAAATGTTGGGATAAATCAAATCGAAATATTCAATTAGCTGTTTCTTTTTTTACAAATAAAAGACATCAATTAAGGCTTTCTTGTGTATATTACAGGCAAGATAATGTAGACAATTATGTACTAATTTATTCGAACTTTAAAGAAGAGAGGTTAGAAAGTCTGAACTACACGCTTAACTCAACAAAGGTAGCGTTGAGGAATTATTTTTAACGTTAAACGTATGCCATAATTTAAATTGGTTCCATCCCGCATGTGTAAATGGACAAAGATTTTTTAGCTGAAAGATAATAATAGCTTGGTAAATGGAGCACATTACTTCAGACGCCTTCTTGCCAGCAGGAAAGCACAAATTGTGCAACTGTACATAGTTGTTACATTTTAATATTTTTAGAAAATTTTGAGCAAATTAAACTCGCTGATTTGTGAGATATTCGGTTAGCAAAAAATCGCAAATATTTCATACTTAGAACTAAGTAAAATTGTTTTAATAAATTTTTACCCATCTTTTTTTAGAAAATCTGGCTACATAATTTCTAAGATATTAGGTTAGTAACAAAAATATCAAAGTATTTCATATTTAGGACTACTGCAAATTATTTTAACGAATTTTCCCATTTCCATTTTCAGAAAACCTGGCCAATTTGTGACATTAGGTTAGCAAAAAATTCGCAATTATTTCATATTTCATATAAAGGGCAGCTGAAAACTATTTTACCAATTTTATCCATTTTTTTCAGAACCATGTCCAATCACAGCGTTGTGCAGCATTTGGCTGCAACGTTGATACACAATATGACAAATGCGAGCCACGAAGGGATGCCCGACGCGCATGCGCATGGAAATCATACAATCACCGAGGGGGGATTTTTATCGGGACGAAATCCCTTCGTTTTTGTGGCGTCCGCTCCACTGCCTACTTTTATCGTGCAACTTGTCGTTATCGTTTCCATGTCGAGATTTGTCAAATTATTCCTTTCGCCAATTAAGCAACCTGGTACGTATGCAAATCACATATTTATTTCGCTAAATACCGAATTTCTTCATTCGGAAAGGAATTATTTAGTTACTAAATATGTATGTACCACTTTTTTTCAGCCGTGATTGCGGAAACCATTTCTGGGATCATACTCGGTCCAACTTGGTAAGTATTGCGTGAAGGAGTGTGCATAAAGAATGTTATCTATTTAGGTTACATAGTATGCACATGGATTATATGCTCCCTGTGTTAATTATAGCTTTGTGATGCATTTACATATTTTGGTAAAAGTTGAAGTCCTTTATGCGCGTTGTCTTGGTAAATTTATATCATGTTTCTATGTCGAGTCGCTATTTTGAGTGGTTTCGTACATTAATATTCATACATATCTCACGCAGGCATCCATACATATTTTGTACATATTTTTAGAAATGTGTACGACGTACATACAATCCATGAACTTAAGGCTGCAAGTTTTTAGTTCACAACTATTAAAAAGAATAAATAAGCAATTTGTTTCATTTAAGAGCGCTATCTACATATTTTGCCATATTATGAAAAACAAATTTTTAATGACCTCTTTCTGAACGAAAAGTAGTGTTAGACGCTCGTTTTACATAAAATTACACAACATGCTCTAGTAAGTGAGGCCATTTTTCTCAAAAATTTAAAGTGTCTTGATGTACATACATATGTCCTTAAAAAATTTAAATTGTTCAAAACCTCAAATTTTTCTCAGTTGATATGCATGCAATTTCAAAATTGTTCTGAATCTTTGTAATTCGAGACGCACCCGCTTTAAATACAGTTGTATACAATTTATTTACTCAACTTTTAGTAAAAAAAGATGGGAAAAAATTAGGTAAAATTGATCCCGTGTTTTCTAAATTTTAATCTACCCAATTGTTGTCACCCTTTTTTACACTACCTTAAGTAGATAAATTTTATGCAACTTTATTTTGAATGAGCATATGTGCATAAATATTATATGTATCCGGCTATTAATTAATTACTTTTTTTTCTATTCATACAGCATGGGCCACATTCCGTACTTTTCGGAAACTATATTTTCCAAACCGTCCCTCCCATTTCTCAACCTCATGTCCAACTTTGGCCTGGTTCTTTTCCTCTTCCTCGTCGGACTCGAACTGGATCCTCGCATGTTGAAGAAAAGTATTCGAAATAGTTTGGCCATCTCACTCACTGGAATGGCACTTCCGTTCGCCTTAGGTGCTGGGGTTTCGTACATCCTTTACACCTACATCGAACCACCCTCGCATCAGAACGGCTTCACCAAATATTTCTTGTTTCTCGGCGTTGCCATGGCGATCACTGCTTTCCCTGGTAAGTAGAAAATGTTTAGCAAAATAATCTGTTCATGATTTTTTGCAACTTTTTCAAATGTCTTATACATACTTCACTCAAAAGAAATTTGATGTGCAAGAAATGATAGAAATAGGCGCCATCTAGCGGCATCTTTTTTTTCTGACACGTTTTATAAATTTCTGGCACGTTTTTTAAATTTCTTATACTTCCCTTCAAGAAATATGCTATTGTCCGCTAGATGGCGCTTATTCTTGCATTTTTTGTTCAAGAAACTATATCTTCAAAAACCATAATTTCATGCACGTGGTTTTTTACTGCAATAACTTAATCTAAATATTTTTCTTCCAGTCCTCGCCAGAATCCTGACCGAACTCGGCCTCCTAAAAACCAAAGTTGGCGGCATCACGATATCCGCCGCTGCCGTTGACGACGCCACGAGCTGGTGCCTCCTCGCCCTCGTCATCTCCCTCATCAACGCGGGCTCCGGCCTCATCGCGCTCTACGTCTTCCTCATGGGCCTCGGCTACTCGCTCTTCCTCATCTTCGTCGTCCGCCCCCTCTTCGTCCGCCTGCTCCGACGATCTGGCGCCTTCGACTCGACGCCATCCCAAGTCATGATGTTCCTCACGCTCATGATCGTCTTCGTCTCCGCCTTTATCACGGACGCGATCGGGATCCACGCCATTTTCGGCGGCTTCCTCGCCGGTATCATAATGCCCCATGAGGGCGGTTTCGCCTACCACATCACCGAAAAACTTGAAGACATCGTCGCCATCTTATTCCTTCCCTTGTACTTTGCCCTCTCCGGCCTGCGAACCTCAATCGGCTCTTTGGACGACCCCATTAGCTGGGCCATCGTCCTTCTCGTCATTTGCGTCGCCTGTTTCGGCAAAATCTTCGGCTGCACCCTGGCCGCCAAAGTGACCAAGATGAACTGGCGGGAATCCATCACGGTCGGATGTCTCATGAACTGCAAAGGCCTGGTCGAACTCATCGTCCTAAATTTAGGCTACGACGCCCAAGTAATATCCCAACGCACCTTCGCCATCATGGTCATCATGGCTTTGGTCACGACCTTCATCACCGTCCCGCTCGTGTCCTTCATCTACCCGCCCCTTTACCACGACAAACCAGAAGAACCCGCCAATTCCACGCATCACAAGGGGAAGAAAAACGGCCCGCCAAGTGTGCTCGTCTGCGTCAACAAGATCGAGCAAGTCCCCCCAATCTTAAGCGTGATTCACCTCCTCCAATCCAAACTGAACACCGTGGTCCCCAAAGACTCGAGGAAAGGGTCGCACCAAAGCCAGTCCTCCACTTCGGGCGGAATAAACCCCTGCCTCCGCCCCCAGAAGGATGTCGACATCACAAAACCCGCCAAAACTACGACCGGCGTCGTAATCAATTCCCTCCGGCTTATCGAACTCACAGAGCGGGATTCCTCCGTCATGCTGCAAACGTCTCAAGACGCCTTGAAAGACGACCCGGTCACTAAAATGTTGCGAACTTTCTGCGAAATGAACAAGAGCAAGAGCCACGTCCGCAGTTTGAGCAAGGTCGTCACCATGAACAGTTTTGGCGACACGCTGGTCAAGACTTCGGAACAGGTCAATGCAAAATACATCTTGATCCCGTGGAGTGGAAGTGGGTCGATGATTGAAGACATGCCGATCGGGCCGATCCAGCAGGCTTTTGGGGAGCACAGGCAACGCCGGCAGTCCATCCACACGCCCGTCCAGCATGCCAACTTTATCCAAGATTTGCTGGCCGGGTCGACCTGCACCGTGCTGATTTTGGTGGATCGAGGTCTGGACGTCACGTCGCCGAGTATCTTGTCAATTTCGAATGGGCAAACGCAAGTGCAAACGTATCAGCAGATTTATCTCCCATATTTCGGCGGGCCGGATGATAGGGAAGCGTTGGAAATTGTGATCGGCTTATCGGCCGTGCCTGGCGTCAAGATAAATGTGATTCGGTACAAGAATATAATTTCGAGGAGATATTCAGGGAATTCGGACATGGGTTCGGGCGAGAGTAACGATACGATCGAGCAGCCAGAAATGTTGGTGCTGGATGCGCAGGATGATGATTTGATTCGGCTGTATTTCGGGGGGCAGGGGAAGAATAATATGTTGTATTCGGAGGTGGAGTCGTATACGCCGGTGACGACGGCGTTGCAGTTTTTGGGGCAGTTGAGCAGTAGTGATTTAGTCATTATTGGGCGGGGGAATACGAGGATGCAGAATAGTTTGCAGTTTAAGAATGGGGATAATGAGAGAAGGAAGGTTTTGGGGGATGTGGCAGAGTCGTTTTTGCTTTGTCCGTGTAACGCGAGCGTGCTGGTGGTGCAGTCGAATAGGTTGACGACCAAGTTGTAGGGGGGGAGGGCTGGTTTTATTTTGTATTTATAGATAGATAAGTAATGTTAATGGTTATTGAAATATGTTTTGATAAAATGAGTTGGAAAGAAGTAGTATTTTTTATAAGGTGTTCAGTAAATACACAATGCAAAATTCGAAAATTGTTCTCTAACATAGTCCGTGTAACGAAAAAATAATAATTTCAGCTAAATGTAGTCGGAATAAAATGAAAACATTGTACCTAACATAAATAAGTAAACCAAAATGATATCCTTTTGTATGGATATATTTTAGTTAATATGTAATTTTGATAATAAATTTGCGTATGAATGAATTATCAATAAAGTTTGTATGTATCTTGAAAGTTTCACATCCTCTGTGTGCACGGTTACATTGAAATTTTAGTTAATCAACTAAATACTGATCCTAAGTTACATATGCAATTTCTTCTCTGGCATATGTAAATGTACCTATATACATACATAAGTGATTAAATAAAAATTTCACATGTGCATTCATACGTACAGTTTTAAGTACTTGCAAAAGAAAACTCTTAACTTTGTCTGTGGGTTACATACGTATACACGTATATGTACTTATATGTTCATACATAGCATGCAAATAGTTTTGATTATTTGGTTAATAGGAACAAAGTATGTAATCAGGAAATCGACACTAGTCTGCCAAACAATTAAGGTTGACATCTTATCAAAATATTTGCCATTCCCTTTCCTGAATTTTGATGGTGGACACGACCTCACAAACATTTTCATCTAATTGGACATCTTGACATTTTTGACGGTAAGTACCAAAGTACTCGCGGCAAGACCTTCCAGTCACCATGATTAGGAATATTAAATAGTACAATCATTTCCTTCATAAATAAAATATATCTCCGATCTATGATGGAGGTTATCACTGCAGACTGCAGATTCTGGATAATTCCCATTGTGCACCTTTTAGTTTAAGCTGGAAGACAATTATTACCAGCAATTACTTATTAACTACAATTTACCTTCAGAATTTATCATCAGTTTAAACTCAACCAAACTTTTTCCTTGCATTTAATTACTCATATTATTTAAAATTGTTAAAACTCAATTTATGATTGCACATCAATGCTATTTCATGCACGGGCCTCAATGAGGCCGTGAACAAGGAAAAAAACATTAATATACATATATGTACATACTTTTTACTTTAAGGAAGATGAGAAACTTTTTGCACACATGAACAGTGGCCTTTTTGTATTGTCGTAGCTCGTGAGAAATGAAATGTTAGATATTTTCCTGAAGGGTTTCTGTTTGCCTTGGAGGAAGAATCGATGTACATGTGTGCATCAGGTTTACACACGCATGCATATGTATGCAATTTGTGAACGTAGCTATTTATGTAAATTAATGTAATTTAATTGGTTAGGTTAACACAGCGTATCGACTTATCTACATTAATCGGATGATAAGTAAGTTGTATATAATTTTCCTTGTCAAGCTTTAATAATATTTATGGGCCTTCATAGATACACGTTTCCTGACAAATAATTAATCATCTCATTGTTGCTATATGTATATCTAGATGCGTCTTTTTATGCAAGTATGCATAAGAAATTCAACCTCACTACATATCTGATCATTCAAACCTGAACACAGGAGTACGAAGAAATTTTGTGCTTCAGAAATATATATATGCATACGCAAATAAAAATAAAAGTTAAGAAATGGCCGTAACAATAAATAACGGTTTCAAACATTTTGGCAAAGGTGAAATCGTTCTTAAAGGTATCGATCTGAATGCAAGCATTGGAGAAATGTAAGTATTTAAATAAATCGAAAAATTAATTTCGCTCATGGGAAAGCCAACTTATTTTCAAATTATGGGTATTCAGCTATGGATTACTGGGCGCCAGTGGATGTGGGCAAGTGACACTTGCTTTCTTAATCATTTTTTAAAATTATAAAGCTTCACAAAGTAATACTAGTTAGTAAAAGCGCAAGATTTAATTCTAATTTTACAGCTTTCTTTAATTTGCCATTAGAAAAACGACTCTGCTCAAATGCATCGTTGGCTTGCATGAGCTCGATTCTGGCAGCGTTACGGTGTTTCAAGAACCGAATCCCGGTAATCTTGATCGCCTTTGTGGGTACATGCCTCAGGCAAGTTAACACAGGGATGATTTTTAAATTTATATGTATAAAAAATCAGCAAACTTATGGAATTTTTTAAATCTGTCTAATTCTAGGAAGCCGCTCTTTTGGACACATTAACGATCGCAGAAACACTGAAATATTTTGGAATAATCTACGCCATGAGGACACACGAGATAAAATTGAATTGGATTGACGGATTGGATTTCTAACCAATTTTCTGGATTTGCCGCAAATCCATAAAGTAGTTCAAGATCTTAGGTGCAAAAAATATCGGCTGAGTAGTAGTTACGGCATTCAAGATCGGAAGATTTAAACAAACCATTGTTGTTTTGCTTTAGATTTAAACAAACCATTTTAAACAAATCATTGTTTTGGGTTATCCCGGTTTTGGAAATCTGATATAATCCAGTTGATTAAAATTTTCTAGAAAATCGGGTTTACCAGAATTTGAAAAGCCGAAATAATTGTAAATCGGTTTGTAACAAGTGTGACATAATCTAAAACCGATTTTGGATGCCCTACTAAAGTGAATATTTTAATAATTTTTGCTATATTTATCATCCATAAGTGGAGGGCAAAAGAGGCGGGTGTCCTTGGCCGCGGCGATGATACACAATCCTAAACTGCTCGTGCTGGACGAGCCCTGCGTTGGATTGGATCCAGTTTTAAGACAGAGGTAACTTTTCGAAATCATGCATCACAAATCATACATATTAATAAATACAAAATTTTCCACAGAATTTGGAAATACCTGCATGAAATTTGTCGTGATCATGGGACAAGCATAATAATTTCTACGCATTACATCGAAGAGACAAAATTTTGCCAGAAGGTTAAGTAGTGAATTTGCATCACAAGCAGAGTGCATTTTACATAACGCTACAAATTACAGGTGGGTTTTATGCGAGGTGGTCGTCTCCTTGCAGAAGACACTAGGGTTGCCGCGGGTAACGGGTCGGGTACCCGTTACCCGCATACCCGCACAATTCTTGCGGGTACCCGTTATCTGCGGGTACCGAGAGCTACCCGTACGGGTAACGGGTAGTTCTGTTTTTATTTAATTTTCGACATAAATCAGTTCCCAAAGAAAGTTAGCAACAAGTTTGCCCATTTCCCAACAAAAGCGTCAATTTATTATTTATCCATTTCAAAATTTGACATTTTACAGCAGCTAGGGTTTATAGCGAGCGTGTCTTTTCGGAAGCCACAGAAGCCTACGGCAGTCTCAAATACTTTTCACGTCCAGAAAATGCGGAGAAATTATTGTTTCTCAAACATAATGTGCCTGCTCTAAAATATGAGTAATAATTTGACTTATATTTGTGTGTAAGGCAAGGACTGATGAGATTTTAATTTATACTTTAAAGGTGAAAAACCTGAATCCGATTGAAAGCAATAATGTTATTTGTAGACAATTTTGTAATTAAAACTTCATTTATACCAAAATTTTAAAAAATCAAACTGTATTTATGTAGATTGAACCTTTTGTCAAGCTACACCAAGATTGTCCAGCGAGTATATTTAAAAGCCAAGCCAAAAATTAGGAATCGCGTGATACTTTCCGTTGAATGTCCACTTTGAAGAAAAATATTGGCGGCAAAATTCGATTTTTAAGTAAAGGTTCTGCATCTTTTTCCTCATCTGGACTGAAACCATGGTGGACTCTGCCCCCAATAGTTTTCTTTAAACGGGCTATTCAAGGGAAAGATAATTGATAATTCCTAATTTTTGGCTTAATGTTTTATAATTCGCTAAGAAATCCCGATGTAGTTTGAAAAACTTTCCATTGTAAGCCAAAATGTTTGAGTTCAGAAGCAACTAGTGACATTCCCATATCAAAGTATGGCATGCGTTACTTGCGTGCATTATCTCATATCAACCCAAATGAGCCAATAATTAATTCAATCGAATTTACTCTTAAGGCTGGTTAGGTTTTAACTCAATTCCCATAACGGGTAGCGGGTAACGGGTACCCGTGCGGGTACGGGTAGTTGTGCTGCGGGTAGCGGGTCGGGTAACGGGTAGCATTTTCGCTACCCGCGGCAGCCCTAGAAGACACGCCTTCTCTTGACACACGAGGCCACAACAATGGAGAAATTGGTGTTCAAGTTGTGCCAATATGATCAAAAAGAATCGAATTTCTCTAAATTTAATTATCTTAATGAGCACGGAATGTTTGAAGTTGTCGCTTCATCACCCAACCCCACCGCACCAATCGCTCGAAAATTCATCCATGCAAATGTGGACAATGGATCAAAAATTTACGCCCTCATGTTTAAATGGTTCCACCGACACCGTAGAGATTTAAGGTCCAATTAAATGTTATTTTTAATGTGTAGTTCCGTAGTTCGCTCACGTCAAGTTTTGTGATGAACAGATTCCACGTGTTCCAGCTCCTTATTCCGGCCATGTGTATGTTCATCTTTCAAAATGTGTTCGGTCCACTACCAAACCGGGTAAAGTTGAGTTTTGTGCATAATTCCAATCTGAGTTACACCGACGCCCCGCAAACATACTGTAGGGCAAATTTTCCAAACAGTTTGTCCCAAGAATGTTTAGCGAATGTGGAGATTTGCAATTTTATGGACACATTTGATAAGGATGAATTCATTTGGGTAATATTTATAGGAAAATACATCAGATACATATTTCCTGGTAAGTAATACCCTTAATTATTGCGAAGGTTCCTGCCAATTCGTACGAAGATGGACTTGACCAAGTCAAACAGGGCAAAACAACTGGTCTCATCGAGTTTCCGCAAAACTATGCTACACATTTAAAAAATCGAATGACCCTTCGAAATTTTGCGGATAATGAGACAATTCTTGGCTCTACGATATCAATTCGATTAGACGAAACCGGTATGTACATAAAACATAATGCATGTTTGGGATACGTATCAGATTGGATTTTTTGTATCCGAGAGGACAGTTCTCTATAACATGGATCCGACCCGATTTGAATATAGGATCCATGTTATAATAAACAGACGAATCATCCGGTCAGATCGGATTATGCCGATTCGGTATTGCCGAATTACCAACACCAGGAATTTAATACTTTAATACTCTAATTTTAGACCGGATGTTGGCTTTCTGGATGAGAAGGACACTTCTCGACACGTATCTAGTTTACTTGGGGAATATCTTATCATCATGCTCCCTCCCTAGTGACATTAGCATACCACCGGTTCATGTAAATGCACCGAAATTCATTAATTTTATTAGAATCCTCCAATAATCTAGATGCTATTTCAGTTCCATGCTGTCTACGGGTCCATAGAAGCGTTTGAATACATCGTCTTCATACAACCTGCATATATAATTGTGTACGTTGCTTTTTGTAATCTTTGTAATCTTGTAATTTTGTATTCATCGGATAACTTACATAATGTAAATATCATGAATGTCCTCCAGGATAATGTTTACGGTGGCGCTGGCCATACCGGTTATACTTATGGAGGATAAAATGATAGGACTTGTGGATAGAGACCATGCAGCCGGAGTGTACTTATGGCATCAACTAACCGCTACTTTTGCCACCCAAAGTTTAATGATCTTAATCCAGATTGGAGTAATTTTGGGAATAATGTATGGCTTGTATGGAATGGTGATTAATGGGCCGTGGGTTATAGTGATCGCGTTGATCTATGCAACATCTTTTACGGGGATGTCAATTGGTAAGAATACAGATTATGTATGCACGTACATATTTACATACTTTTTCGGCTATACTAATTTATCCTTAACTTTTTTAGGCTATCTAGTGGGTGCATTTTGTGACGGTCTTATGGAAACTATTCTAATCAATATGTGCATTATGATCTCCCTATTATTTTCAATAGGTATCTGGTTTTAAGCCTTTATTTAAGTAAGGTGGTATTAGATAACCTTCTGTATTTACGTTTTTGTTTTTGCTGCAGGACTATTCTGGCCCATGATAATGATGACGTGGTGGTTTCGTCAAGTGGTCGAATTAACCCCAATTGCATTTCTAGTGGAAGCGATGCGTTCAACATTTTCGAGAGGATCAGGAATAACAAGCACAAGCGTGGCGCTAGCCTTTGTATCGGCTGGTTGTTGGATTTCTGTTTCATTGATCATCACAATTTGTGCAGGAAGATGGAGACAGAAGTAAAATAGAATATTATTTTTTTTGAAAATTCTATGTACATAGAAATTACCTTATGCAAAGAATAAATATGTTTGTCAAACCAATATTATAACGTAAACGACATGAGGGTAATTATGGAAATATACTAATGATAACAAGTGAAACTTCCGAGGTGTCAGTCGTGTCTAGGGTACCCACTACCCACCATGTTTTTCTAAGAATCTACATACTAGAATCCTATAATCCTAGAATCCTATGTAGGATCCAGTCTTATTTCAGTGTAAAACTTATATTTAGCGCCGTGGTGTGGCGTCAGATTCGCCAATTTTTAATGTTTTTAATTTTAAACCCGCCATAATTTATGAAATCCTGGAAGAATATCATAATTTTTTGCTGAAATTGTGACAAAGAGTTTAACTTTCGCATGCAATGAAATTTAAAAAAAATTTATTTAGTTTTTCCCAATTTCGCAAATTTTCTTAGATAAGGGTTCCTCGAAAAACTCGTAAAAAATATCTCTCCAATGTAAAAAACGTTATTTTTTATTTAAATTTCGACTTTGGTGATCATTTTAAGCACACAATTATGAAAATGCAACAAAAACTGCACAGGTATTGTTAAGGCCCCTAAATATAATTTTTACAATGAAGTTTGAATGGATCCTTCATCTACGTATGGCCTTATAACGTTGCCTAAGTTCACTCATCAATCTTTAATTTTAAGCGAACTGATATTTTTCGATGCTAAAATATTTTGGATTAAAATGCACCGTCAGTTATTATCCGTAGGGTTTAATGTTCTTAATGGCTATGTATTCGTCAGAACCTAACGGTTTTTACTGTAATTGCAAAGCAATTAAGAGATCGACACTAATCTGCCAAACAATTAAGTAACAACGTAATCAAGAGATCGACACAAGTCTGCCAAACAATTAAGGATGACATCTTATCCAAATATTTGCCATTCCCGTTCCGCAATTTTGATGGGGGACACGACCTCACAAATGTTCTCATATACTTGGACATCTTAACATTTTTAACCGTGCGCAACAAAGCACACGACGTCGCCAATGGTCGCGCCAAGACTTTGAACAGCGTCAGTATCACGATAAACATATCCATCGCCACAATGAGAAATATTAGTATTACGACGCGCGGGATAATTTTGGCGAATGAATTAAATAATACATAAAGTGCCACACTTTCCGCCAATATTACGCCCCCAACGAAAGAAGACATTGCTCCATCTTTCCAAACATTGTTCCGAAGCTGACCCAGAATTTGGACAAGGCGATATTCACGCAGCGATGGGCAACACCGAATTCCTTTGATATTTCTGAAATTTATGCGCATATAATTTAATTCCTATACATACATATGTACCGGAGGTGTTCCAGCGTTTGACCATTTAAACATTATACTCTTAGAAATCAGGTATACATAGTCACGTACTATCCTCGTATTTAGGCGTGTCACCTCATTTGCGTAAATCTGACTATGCCCATTTTCGGCGATACGGCTTTCCATGTTGAATAAACACTATGCCTCTCGCGAATGCGTCAAAATATGCAAATAATGTGACCGGCTATAAAAATTCGACAGTAGGTACTAATTTCTTGTATTAGAATTGCTACCGGATGGTATAATTATACCGGCCCTTGTAAATTTGCTACCTACATGATAAAACTTTAATGCCGAGCTTTTAGTATTTGTACACTGTGCTACTTATCAATAGCACTTTGATGGAGTCATCTATTATTACCGCCTGGTATTATCTTAATACTGGATTTCTAACAATGTAACTTTTCTCATCAAACTGGCAAAAACACTTCCAAAAACTAACTGACCTTTCAATTTGATCAATTATTAGCAGAATCACTTCGCCCGAGTACATCAGCCCCGGCGAGATGATGAAACCCACCACGCCCACCAGCGTTGCGGCCGTGTAGCCCTCCAAGACTGTGAATCCAATTCGCACTATGATATTCGCACTGGGTTTTTCATACCACGTTTCACAAGCCTGGGAAATAAGGCTACTCGGCAAGAAAGGCATACAGGGTCGCAAGATAGACAACATCGCTACCGATGCAGGTAACATGACTTGAGACTGCATTATGATCACTCCTATTATTCTGAAATATCTGGTCACGTGGTGGGGGTAACCTGTAAAAATTAGGACGGATTTCGTTAAATAAATACGATATGTGGTGTATCTCCCAACTGCAATTCTAATTAACTGGGAGACATAAAGCTCTATTTTTGGGTAATTATTATAGGTGTGTTCGCCAAACTCAAACCTTCCTACATGAAAGAAACCTTACGTTATTTAAAAAAATGAACCTTTCTGCTGTCTGAATTTCAGTTTACATAATTTGAAAATGACGTCATATGAGTTTTCGATTTATTTTCCGTTCTTTAAAAAACGTCTCTGAATTATTACTCAAAAATAAAGCACTATACTTCCAAGGGTAACAATTTGTCTCCAAAATAAAATTATTTAAATTTATGGTATATCTTACATCTCCTCACAAATTCCGTCTCGATCCGAATTGTCGAATTAATCAAAAGCACGGCTTCTTCACGAACCCTCCAGAGATGAACTATAGCGTAACTAACGGCAGCAAAGATAACCAGGAAATATGTCATCATGACCTTTTCCCAATTTTCTAGGGAAGAATCCCCCAAAAATTTTACGAACCAGGTCAGCACGATCACAAAATGGGTGAAGTTGTTGACCCAGCAGATAAAATTTGCATCATGTGCCATTTTTCGTGCGTCATTAGACGGAAATACGATTTATGCAGGGAAAATGGTACTGGTCTCATCCACAAGCAATACCGACATATTCGGAGAACGATGGGAATATTGGATCGAGCTAGAAGGGCAGGTTCCCAAATTTCGCGAAAGTTTTGAACAAAAAATTGCATTCTTGGTAAAACTATTTTGCAGAAAATGTTTATAAAGGCAGGCATGCTTGCGAATTTGTGTTGGTGAATGGTGAACGTACGCACACAGATTTTGGTATAATTATTTGGCTATTAGAATATTTTGTTTTCCAGTTGTTAATGCGACGTGTGCCAGAAAGCAATGGCCGCGGAAGGGTGAGGGCAGGGCGAGCATGTCCCCACGATTATTCTTAATCTCTTGTCATTGCTGTATAAACTATGCACACTGCTATCCTAAAATGTTGCAGTCTCTTGATGGCCCCACGGCTTCCGCGGTCACTTCCATAAAGTTAATACGAGCCCATTATTTTAATTGCGTACATAATTATTTCATACACTATGTATGTACAGCTGTATCATACATAATCTGTATATTGCAGGAATTCAATAATTGAAAGTTGATTGAAATTTTTTACGTGTACAGTCATATTGGCTATAACCTTTCTGTCCAAAAAGTCCTATTTTGATAGGAATCGAGCGTGCACGCTCTCTTCCCACTTTTGCACGAAATTTTAAACTTTGTCCTAGAGATGCGAAATTTGGCATGCACATGCACCAACATATGCTACATCATAATATAACATCAATTCCCGTTCCGTTCGCTATAAATTTTTCAGGAAAAATCAAAAACAAATGTCGCCCGTATACAATTCTTGGCTCGTTTACCCTTTGCAGCAAAAAACAGAGATTTACTTTCTCCAGCCAACTCACTCCCCTTCATACAATTGGGATAATTCCTTCCTGACTTCCGCATACTTAAAGGGACGTCAGACTACCGTAGAGCAAATATCCTGCCAGTCAAGTCATCCTATCTAAAGTTATATATTTGAAAGCCTCGAACGCTTTTCCCATGAAAACCGTGCGATCAAGCAAAAGAATTTATAATTTTTAAACCATATTAGACTAATATTATTAGCACCTTGTTAATCCATAATAATTGCTTAACATAGCTCAAATACTTTGTGATTTATCATCAGAAATGTTTGTGCGGCAACTTCTGAGGTGACTATCTAAGAACATATCAATTTCTAGATAAATTCTTGCAAAAAGGCTTATGATTTGCTAGCCAAAATTTTGCGAAATTTCGAAATTTATGTATGTATGTATGTTGGTATACTCAATATGCGAGATGTGCGAAGGTTGAGGTGAGTACGCACATTCGGTCATCCATTAATTTTGTTTAACAAGCCGCCCAACTGATTTTCAAAGCGCACTAACCTTTCAATTTAATCAATTATTGGCAGAATCACTTCGCTCGAGTACATCAGCCGTGGCAAGATTATGAAGCTAGGGTGACCATCCGTCCCGGTTTTCAAAACCTGTCCCGGCGTTCCGAAAATGTCCCGGTTAGGAGTGGCAATCCGATCCGAAATCCGCGGATTAGGATCGGATCGGATTTTTCCTGATCCGATCCTAATCCGATCGGATCAATCCGAAACTAGTCATCGGATTTCGGATCGGATTTCGGATTGGCGAATTTTCCAAAAATGTACACACTTTTACGTAATGTAAGCTTTTCATGCATGAAAATCTCTCTCTTTTTTGTGTTTTAAGTCGCCCCACTATTTTGATTCGCGGTGGCGGTGAGTTGGCAAGAGAAAGAAAGGCAATGAACAATTAACCTTGGATTTGAGTGAAGGTTAACAGGAGGTAGAAAAGAGTCGTGATTTAGAGTCGGAACAGAGCAGACTTACTGCTGAGACAGTGGTCCTAATAGTGGACAATTGGTGTAATAATTAGAGAGTTAATTGTGACAATAAATTGGCGTTGCATTATTGAGATCGTCATTTGTTTGTTCACACATTATTTACACCGTTTCTCGGAGGAAAGCAGAAGTCTCATCCTTTCAATCGCGAAGAGACTACACCCACCCAAACCTGAATAGGCTCGCTGCTGGTAGTGGGAGTGGCTATTCAAAACACACTAGCGCTGCGTATAAACTTTCATTGATTCATAATTTGATATTGTGATTTCTCGAAGTAAATGGGATAAATTTTGTAGGCGCCAAAATCAAGTGCCCACTTGTGGTGGCGAGCTGAAATTAAAATAAAATCTATCCCGTTTAGTTAGAGAATCCACAGTAGTTCAAACAATATCTTGCACGAACATGTTTTGTCCGTCGCTGAATTTTTAAATGATCATTCAGCCCGGAGAATCGTT